TACAATATTATAGTGATTTTTGCCATACATTGACATCAATCAGCCATGGGTGTACATGTGTTCCCGATCCTGAGGCCCCCTCCCACCTCCCTCCCCATTCCCATCCCTCAGAGTCATCCCAGTGCACCAGCCCTGAGCACCCTGTCTCATGCATCGAACCTGGACTGGCGATCTGTTTCACATATGATAATGTACATGTTTCAGTGCTATTCTCATCCCACCCTCGCCTTCTCCCACAGAGTTGAGATGTCGTCTTTATCCCTTCTTCCCCTTCCTCCCTCCACCATCCTAGACCAGACCCTTTTTACCTCATTTTGCTTCAGTATGTGTGTGCTCTGTCGCTCAGTCATGTCCAACTCTTTTGTGACCTCATGCACTGTAGCCCACCAGGCTCCTCTGTCCATGGGATTCTCCAGGCAAGAATACTGGACTGGGTAGCCATTCTCTTCTCCAGGGGATCTTCCCGACCCAGGGATTAAACCCCAGTCTCCTGCACTTCAGGTGGAATCTTTACAGGCTGAGCCACCAGGGAAGCCTGCCTGCTTCAGTACAATATATAACTCTGATATAACCCAGAGTCTGATCTCTAGGCATCCTGCATCCATCCTTTGTACCACTGCCAGATTTCTGCATAAAGCTTAATAAATATTGACAAGGGAGTTATCACTAAAATCAAAAAGGACTTGCTGCCCTGGGCACTCACTGTCTTCTCTGCCTTATTTTCAAGGTTCTCCATAAGTACACCCCAACCTCCCTGCTTTCAAACATTAATACATGCCTGTTTCTCAAATATTTGCCATATTGTATTTCTTTCCTTGTTGCCTGAAACTGCTTCCTTGTCCTTCTGCAACCACATAAATCCTGATCATCCTAGGCCCTTGTGATCTAGCTGTCACTGATTTCTACTCCTGGGGACACTCATGGTGCCTAGAGCAGGTATGACCCAGATTGGTGCTGACATACAGAGTGAACCTTACCGTGACATGCCTGTTGTTGTCCAGGGGAACTGTGTTTCCACATGCATGCTGTGAGTCTTGTCTCAACTAGATTGTTGGTGCTTTCAGAGCAGAGACCAGAAAATACTACCTCATGACTGCCACCATGCCTGGTGTATTTCTATAGCAAACACTCACTCACTTGTAGGATTAACTGAAACATTGGACACTGAGGTTGTTTAACTTGAAATTAAAATGCCAACCTCATCATCTTAATTAAAACTTCAAAATTTGTAGCAGGTTCTGCATAATATTTTAGGATTACAAAAGTAAACTCAACAAAGAAATAAGTTGACAGCAGGAGTGAAGTAGAAAAAAGTCAGGGTTCATTCTGGGAAACATGTAGCCTCTAGATGCATTAATTGTTTTGTTTTCTGTTTTTAATCAGAGAAGTTTAAAGAGCTCTCTTGTGAAGAAATATTCTTGAGTGGTTGAGGGGCACAGCTTCCAGACTAAAAAGTATTTGGGGTGAGGTCTGCCACATTCTTTTCTGATATTCCTACTCAACTTCTTATTCACTCAACTTCTTATTCTTCTGACTACTTCTTTTAGGAAAGAGAAAACTGAGGATATCTATACCTTCCTCTCAATCCAGATAGAAGCAAACCCAAGTTATAGTCCAAATATTTGCATATTTTCCCCTAAGCAGCTTTTTGTTCTGTTCTCTCATAGAGCCTTCCCTGTTTCCTGTTTCAGCAGGCTCTGAAATCATCTGTAATTTTTGTATTCCTTCAGTAACAATACTTTGATCTTTGCCCCCAGTTTGCAGATTGAGTCACTAAAGCAGAGTGCAGTGAGGGATGCCTGAGGTTATACAATAAACCTGGCCCCAAACTGGGTAGCCCTGGTTTCGGCAGTTGATTGGTCACCCAGCTGCAGTGTGGGCACAAAGGAAGCTGCACCCACAGCATTCTGTTGTGGATGGTTGCTGAGCTCACATTCATTATTGGGATCACTTTGTTTCCTGTTAGGTCCAGCATTTTCTTTCTCTAGGTCAGGCAGGCCTGTGGGCTTCACTGTAGCCCCCAGCCTAGCACTGTGAATACAGAAGCTAGAAGATGTGCCTTAGAGAAGCTTTATGGACAGTGTGAACCCAGAAGGGTGAGCCTTGATTGCCTGTAAATGGTCTCCATCAGCAACACCAGGGTTGGGACAACGTTGTTTAGTTTTAACAGATGAATTTAGATCATGGAGGTGCTTTTGCTTTTTGTTGGAAAAGGCCGTCCTAATAACTAAGTTCACTTTGGAGGGGTGGGGGTGTTCTTTTGTTATTAGAGAACCTGGGTTCTATGAATTCCCAGATCTTCCCCTCATCACATCAACACTCACATCATCACATCAGGGAGATTTGGTTGTGACTGACATAAACAGTGGCTACAACAGTTCAAGCAGCTGTGGGTGGGGAAACTGTGTCTTAGAACTTCACACACTGTGCTAAGCCTTAAGAAGTAGTGTGGGTTGTTGGCTTCATGACTAAGTTCTTTGTCATTTTTCAGAAAGCCGTTGTGACCCTTAGAGGCCAATTGGGAACAGTTGAAGTATAGGACAATGAGGGAAATATATATGTGGTGGGGTGGAAGGGGACAAAACAAATGTTATGGGCTGGCTGTTTGGTGATAGATAGTGAGAGTTGCTATAGCAGCAACACTCCATCCAGAGGAGCAATAGACCCATTCATGGGAGAGAGACTAGGGCCTCTCTGAGTCCAGGGTGCAAGTGGGTGCTGGCAGAGTTGGGTGGGTGGGCTGATTGTCTAGCAAGAAACTCTGGCTGGTAGACAACTGTGAATAGGTGCAGAGCAAAGCTGCCCTTGGAACATAGTGAGTGCAGGTGCTCAGAAATGGGAAGCTAGTTTTGCCTGTGGTTCCAAAGGTTACTCTCCTTTTTGTTTCCTTCCCGGAATCTCTTGAGAGAAGGAAATGGCAACCCACTCCAGTACTCTTGCCTGGAAAATCCCATGGACAGAAGAGCCTGGTAGGCTACAGTCCATGGGGTCGCAGAGAGTCGGACACGACCTAGTGACTTCACTTTCACTTTTTACTTTCATGCATTGGAGAAGGAAATGGCAACCCACTCCAGTGTTCTTGCCTGGAGAATCTCTGGGACTGGGGGAGCCTGGTGGGCTGCCATCTATGGGGTCACACAGAGTTGGACACGAATGAAGTGATTTAGCAGCAACAGCAGCGGGATCTCTTGGAATAGAAACAGCAAATTAGTTTCAATTGAGATTTTTCTTAGAATTCTTAAACACTTAAGCTGTCTTAAAATCTGCCGATAAAGATTCTCTGTTACTTTGCATGACACCTCCAGTTCTCTGTGTGCATTGTGGAAGAGGCAGAAGGGCTGGGCCCTCAGAGCATGGGCCTTATGGAAGTGAGCACAGTTTAGACTGAGAGAAAGTGCCCCTCCCCCACTCCGCCTCCCCAGTGAAAGCGATTTTGCAAAGTGTAAGCAGACACGCCACCATCAGAAACAGATGTTCCTTGCCATCTCTCACCCTTGTTATTGTTCAGTCATTCAGGCATGTCTGACTGTTTGCAACCCGCTAGGCTTCCCTGTCCTTCACTATCTCCCGGAGTTTGCTCAAACTCATGTCCATTGAATTGGTGATGCCATTCAACCATCTTGTCCTCTGTCATCCCCTTCTCCTCCTACCTTCGATCTTTCCCAGCATCAGTCTTTTCCAAGGAGTCGGCTTTTCACATCAGGGGGATTTTTGGAGCTTTAGCTTCAGTCCTTCAGTATCAGTATTGGAGCTTCAGCTTCAGCATCAGTCCTTCCAGTGAATTTTCAGGGTTGATTTCCTTTAGGATTGACTGGTTTGATCTCCTTTCAGTCCAAGGGATGCTCAAGAGTTCTTTCATCCTACGCTGGAGCATTCATTCAGTCCGCCAAGACCACCCAAACCAAAGGGCAAATTACCAATATTGATCTAGCCCTCATAGCAGTAGTCCTCAGTTTTTTACATTTTACCTTACAACAGAAATGCATTTTACTTTACAACCCTGAAGCTATTTACACACAAAACTTAAAATTTCACAAAATGATACTTAACTACTTTCAATGCACTCTGCCATTCTCTATTTGCTTTTCCTTTTTCTTTCTTTTCTTTTTTTTTTTTAAAGCTTTTGTGGCTTCCTAAGTGGTGCTAGCAATTTAAAAATCTGTACCCTTGGGGATATAAGTTTACCTGTGGTGATCTCTGAATTATCACTAAGGCCTGGTTCTGATCTCCTGTCCTCCTTGGGCTTTTTGCATGCCTAGCTTGTGCAGTTATCCCCCTCGTGTGGAGTTACCTTGGGGGACGGGAAATACAGCTGGGTGTGAGAGGCCCCACCACCCAGGCTAGGCGGGCACTGCCTGATGCTCTAAGTGTGTGCAGCTGGCTTTGAACATGTTAAATTCGAGGTGCCTGTGGAGTTTTTAAATGGAAAAAGAACAGAAACAAGACGACTATACAGAAAAGCCACTTTGGTTAGAGAGTTGGGACTATGCTTTTGAGAAGCATATCTCAACTTCTTGATTATGAAACTTGGTTTGAAAAAAATAATATTACTCCTTTTTCTGCCTTGTCTGGGGCAAGCTTTAATGTATTTTTACTATTATGAACTTTCGTTTCATTGAGTATTGTTCCTTGAATTATATAGCTGCTTTCATTGTGACTATATTCCAAGTCAATATATTCATGGACATACCCATTTAAGAAACTTGAACTTTAGGTATGTAAGATGACAGACATTTTGGAGGTGTTCTTCCTAGGCTTGAGAAGAGAAAAGGGTCTTTGTATTCTGAATGAGAAGGTAGAGGGTAGTTCTTTCCCTTTCCTTGGATTCCCCTGAAAAAATAAACAGCTGTATGCATCTACTCAACACCAGCTGCCCCATCACATTTTGCCCAGATCAGTCGGGTTACATATTGTTTTAAGGAATTAAGAGTAGTTTGTTTCTTTCTGGTAACTCAGTAACCCATTCACTTGTAATTTTTTTCTCTTCCTGATTCTAATAGGTTGCACTTAACTTTCACAAAAAGGACTACACAGAATAGCTGCATAAGGCCAATCCTTGAACTTAATGAAGGATGTCAGAGTGGGAGCATTCTGATGTGCCGGCGTCATTCTGCGGTGTGTTCCGTTCTTTTGCGGTCTCCGAAAAAAATGGTATTAAAAGAAAATATTTTATGAAATAAGGAGCTCCTTTTACATTTTTAATGACCAACATGGACATCTGTTCTACAGAATACACAGTCCTATGGTTTTGAAGAAGCAAGCACTCATTTAAAACTGACCCTAAATAAAAACAGACCTGGATGGATGTCAGAATGTTTGTTAGTGGCAGGAGAGTAAAAAAATGGCAGTTTATTCAGTTATTTGCCACTTGTTTTGTACTAAGCCTGATGTTCTTCTGGATACCAATTGATAATCACATCGTGAGCCATATGAAGTCCTACTCTTACAGATACCTCATAAATAGCTACAATTTTGTGAATGACAGCCTATCTCTTAAGCGCAGCGAGGAGGGGGTTCCTCGTTACCAGTACTTGATTAACCATGAGGATAAGTGTCAAGCGCAAGATGTCCTGCTCTTACTGTTTGTAAAGACTGCTCCTGAAAATTACAATCGCCGTTCTGCTATTAGGAATACATGGGGCAATGAGAAGTATGTTTGCTCTCAACTTAATGCCAACATCAAAACTCTGTTTGTCTTAGGAACACCTTCTGACCCACTGACAAGAGAAAGACTTCAGAGAAGACTGGTTTGGGAAGATCAGATGTACAATGATATAATTCAGCAAGACTTTGCTGATTCTTTCTATAATCTTACTCTTAAATTTCTTCTCCAGTTTAGTTGGGCAAATCGCTTTTGTCCACATGCCAAATTCCTCATGACTGCTGATGATGACATATTTATTCATATGCCAAATCTTATTGAATACCTTCAAAGTTTAGAACAAATTGGTGTTCAAGACTTTTGGATTGGTCGTGTTCACCGTGGTGCCCCTCCCATTAGAGACAAACGCAGCAAATACTATGTTTCTTATGAAATGTACCAGTGGCCGGCTTACCCTGACTATACCGCTGGAGCCGCCTACGTGATCTCTGGTGATGTGGCTGCCAAAGTCTATGAGGCATCACAGACACTTAACTCTAGCCTCTACATAGACGATGTGTTCATGGGCCTCTGTGCCAATAAAATAGGGATAGTACCACAATACCATGTGTTTTTTTCCGGGGAAGGTAAAACTCCTTATCATCCTTGCATCTATGAAAAAATGATGACATCTCATGGGCATGTAGAAGACCTTCAGGACCTCTGGAGGGATGCCACAGACCCAAAAGTAAAAACAATTTCAAAAGGTTTCTTTGGTCAGATGTACTGCAGAATAATTAAGATAGTCCTCCTTTGCAAACTGACCTATGTGGATACATATCCCTGTAGGGCTGCCTTTGCCTAATAGTACTTGAATGTTGTATGTTATCACTGTCACTGAGCCAAACCTGGATAAAAAAAACTTTTAAATGTTTATCTATACCGTAAGTGAAATGAATATGAAGAACAAAGGAATATTTTGAAAGCGCAGTCTATCAGAATGTTTCTTTGATTCTAGAAGCCCTTCAATATAACTTACCTACTTCATTGCCTAAATTCATTTCAAGGAATTTAGATTTAGACAAGGTTCATATGAAAACAAAACTAAAGGGAATTTCAAGTTCTCAGTACCATGAGTATATCAGAGGAGTAGAAAAGTTAAGGTGCCTAGGTGTTAGGATAACTGCTTTTGGAAAATACCAAGTAAATGTATAGCACAACATTTCAAAGAAATGGATATGTTGTTGGACCAGGTACTTATTAAAGAGCACTTGATGGAGTTGGTAGGGGCAAGGGAGGACTGGCATGGAAGAAAGTACATGAACCTGGTCAAAGAAAGTTTCCTCTTCTTCAGAGGAGACTTAGGAGAAGATACGCAATTTCTTTATAATCCACCAAATCATTTACTGTCACATTCATGTAGCTGTTTTACCCGGACAGTATTGGAGTCCTTTTAAATATATTTATATATTTTTTCAAAGTTTAATGTGAAATTTGAGAAGTCATTAGCTCTGCCCTAACTAGTACTTTATTATGTTTTTTTTATTATTATTAGACAATGACACAAAACATGGACAGCGTCTTACTCAGAGGGTCCTTTGCTAGAGATAAATCATTGTAAATTCAAATAAGTTGATTTTATCAATAATTTAGTGAAATTTCAACTTGTTTTAAAATATTCGGTATCAGTCTGTTTTTAAGGCAGCTATTTGAATGTAGTTTACATAAAGGAATATAATAATGGAGAAGAATTCAAAAAGATAGAACATTATGAGACTCTTTTCTCCATAATTTATAAAAGTTTTAATGTCTAAATTGTATTAATTACTAAAATCAGCCCACCCGTCTCCAACAGGGTCTCATAAACCAGTTGGTTTTGAGTTTAGCTTTTAAAACTGAGAGTATTAAACATCAAAAGTGTAGTAGCTAAAAAAATCTATTCTTTCATCAAAATGACTATCAGAGGTGATATTCAGCTTCTAAATATTTCAGAATGAAAGTGATAGGAAAGTTACCTGAATGAAGTTTAAAACATTTGTAAAGCTGTATGTTCCTTGTAATAAAAGAGATGTGGCTGAGATCCAATAGTGGGAGTTAGATTTATTTTACATGGCAGGATGAAAATGTGGCTATGATACAACCTCCCCTCACTACAGAAAGAACTATTTGAGGTCTGTTGTTAGGGGGATTATATGAAAGGCAAAATAGTGACTTCAGCAAAAGCAGTGAAACTGATTATAAACCCTTTGTCTGCGGAGGTGCGTGTTAGGGAAAACTAAGATGTATCACTTGAAATGATGACATCTGAAACACAAAAAAAAACTAAAAAAGAATTCTCAGTATACATAACTGGATGATGATGATATATATACAAATATATATATAATTTGTTGCAGGTAGCTTTTCATTGTTTACAGAAACTTTTTGTTAATTTTTTCTAATTTGAAAATCGAAGCTTGTTTACATTGATTGTTCAGATAATTTAGCATTTTTGACTCATGTCAAAACTACGGTGTCAAACATTCTAGTTTGTAGTTACTTTCAGAGTAGGTTCAGGGTTTTTAGATCATTACAATTTAAATTTTCTGACCAATTTTAAAAACTGTAGAGAACAAAAGCGCATTTTGACAAAGCAGGTTTGTAATTAATTTTTATTAGTCAATCCTTTAATACCATTTGCCCTTTGGTCATATATATGCCCTGTGTATCTATACTTGTAACTGTTTAAATTTGCTATTGGTTGAGAACATCAGTGTCTCTGCCCATCAAAATGATCTTGTTTACATCAGTACTTTTGTGAAAGTTATTTATTTGTGAAAGAGCTTCCTTCAATTGTGTTCATCTTTTATTTTTCCTTAACATAGAATGAAACATTTAAATTTAGAGGAGATATGAAGGCACTTCCTTTTTTTAATAAGGAAATTGCTAGATACTTCCTTCATCAGACTTAAAGTACTGAGAAGAATAATTGTAAATAAAGGATTCCAACCTTTTAAAAAGGAAGGAAAAAAACTTTTTGGTGCTCCAGTGCAAGGCTATCTTTTAAAAGTCATCAATAAAGGGAAAATAAACTTTCAGCCTGGATGGTCAATTGATGGTTATATACAGTATTATTGCTAAAAACTTTTTACCTCCTGGTTTACTTGCATCTATTTTCCTTATTATTAATTTTATACCAAAATGTTATTTATATTATTTGAATTTTGCTCTTATATGGCAAAATAATTAGAGGGTTTTTAAAAATAAATCTGTGATTTCCAATAAACAACTTGAAAATTGTCAACAGATGTGTATTTTCACAAAGGCTTTTAAACTCCTGGGTGAACACTATTTGTTTATGTCATCAACTGCTTCTGTTTAATGTCAGAGAGGCCTGTAATATGTGATCTTAATCCTATTTCCTGTTCAGACTTGCTGCTGTGCCCAGGATAGAGGATTGCTGTATTCCCTGCATTGTGGAGCCATCTAAAGTACTTCTTTTGTTTGTTGAAAGGTTTCTTCTGGAATGACTAAGTGGGGGAAGTCTTCTCTCCTAATAGACTGTTCAGGAAAAGATGAAATAAGAACTATAGCCATAGTGCCTTAAGACACCATTTTCCTTTTATTTAGTATCATTAACTAGCCAAATGTTGATTCGAATTTAGCCCTAGCCTCTTTACATTAGGAATGTTCTTAGGCCTGCTCTGCACTGTTTGGTATTTCAGTAGATTTGTGCATAGTATGTGCTCATCTGCTTTTCACCTGATTCTTTCTTGATTCTTTAGCATACTAGATGGTGTGATTCAATATATATTTTTAAAACTCGGAAGCATCTGAATTATTTGGTTGCAGTAGAACTTTTTACTTGTGAGGCATGGCTGGGGTGTTTGTAGTTGGGACTAAAATGATAATTATTTGGAAGAGTTGAGTTGACCTGTATTGGGGACTTTAATTGAATACCACAGCTACAATGAGAATCAGAACAAAGAACTACTGATATACAGGGTTATTCGTTCTTCTGTAATAATGAGAGTAATGTTAGATGTCTCCTTAACAATGTTTTCCCTGCAGTGACTGCATTCTGCAATGGGACTAGCCTCAGCTTTCATTATGATGTTACTTTGCTCCAGAACTCAAAGGCTCCTTACTGCCTCCAGCATCAGATCCAATCTCTTCTACCTGGTTTTCAAGGTTTTATCTGATCTTCTTTCCCTCCACTCTTTGTAGCCACCATTACCCATCACAAATTTCGTTCATGACCAACATTACCTTGCATAAACTGGTTTCCCTTTTCAGGAACACTTTCTCCTGAAGCTGTTGAAATCTTATATCTACAACCCCAATTCTGCTCTTCCATTAAGCATCTCCTCCCCTCCCTCTAAAATATTACTGAATCACATATATTATTGTGCTACCTAGGAATCATTTCATGTGTTTTTTCCCTAGCTAAAATATAAGTTCTGAAGGTAGGGACTATGCCCAGTATTATCACATAATGCTTAAAATCATTACTTTTGCCAAATATAATAAAGTAATGTTATTCTGGCAAGGGGTCCAAATGTGAGAAGAGATTAATTATTCAGAACCCTTAATGGACACTGTTATAACATTTTACCTGTACTACTTAAAAGTTTATAATTTATTCAACAAAATCTGAATGTTTACTATATGCCAAGCATATTATACCTATCCAACTGTAGCCCAACAAATTTGTATTAGTTATACATAAAAACTCAAAAGTATAAAATCAAAAGTAAAAAAGAAAATATAGCTTAAATTGTTACAGCAAAGGTATGATCTTATAGTATTTATTCAAAGCTTCTGGGAGAACAAAATGAGTAATCTCACAGTTTCTCCTATCTCCTGCTCAGTCCACTAGCTAATTTGGCCTTTTCTCAAAGTTCTTTTGTAAGAATCTTAGATAGTTTTGTTTCATTAAATGCTGTAACATTTCCTATTTGTATTTCTCATTAGAAGTATGATTTAATCTTTGCTTTGTGGCACAGTCAGTAAAGAATCTCCCTGAAATGCCAGAAACCCGGGTTCAATCCCTGGGTTGGAAAGATCCCCTGGAGAAGGAAATGGGAACCCACTCCAATATTCTTGCCTGGAGAATCCCATGGACAGGGGAGCCTGGGGGGCTACAGTCCATGGGGTGGTGGCAAAGAGTTGGACATGACTTAGTGACTAAACCACTACTATAATATAATAATTCACCAATTAACTTAAAGCATTCACTATGAGACAAACTACAATTATAAAATAAGTATGGTTGTAGTAATAGAGAAGTCCCGAATGATATACTGTCAATTAAGGAAAACAATAGAATGCATTGCCAAGTGTTTCATCTCAGACACAACCCAACCTAATACACTTTCATATATGCTGAATTGCGCCTTTTACTATAACTCAAAGGGTTATTTCAACCAGTAAGAGCCCACATGTTTCCCTGAATACACTTTAAGGGGAAAGAATAGCAAGTAGTCTAATTAAACTAATATTAGCTTTAATCAAGAGGCAAGTTCCAAAAGATGTTTGTTCATTTCATTACAAGCATGTTTATGGAGGACTGCTAAGAGCTAAACGTGATAGACTCTGGGGGATAAAAGTAGCTCATAAAGGAATTTGTAAGTCAAATGGTGTGGGTAAAAAAAACATGACAAATGCTAGATTAGAGGTAATGGTGAGAATTCTCAGTATAAAGATTTTTTAAAAAGTGAGTTTCCTCTCATGCTTTTGGTCTTCAGTTCAGTTGCTCGGTCGTGTCCAACTCTTTGCGACCCCATGGACTGCAGCAAGCCAGGCTTCCCTGTCCATCACCAACTCCTGGAGCTTACTCAAACTCATGTCCACAGAGTTGGTGATGCCATCCAACCATCTCATCCTTTTGGTCTTAACTGCCATAATATTTAGGCTTTCTGATCAAGAGAGCATTCATATGCATGCAGACACCTTTCTGTAGGCCAAAAATAGCATCTGTGCTGCTGTCTAGTCATTGAATTGTGTCGACTCTTTTGTGTCAATACAATCAATACCCCTAGACTGTATTGTGCCAGGCTTCTCTGTCATGACATTTTCCAGGAAAGAATACTGGAGTGGATAGCCATTTCCTTCTCTGGGGGATCTTCCTGACCCAGGAATAAAACCTGCATCTCCTGCACTGCAAGGCAGATTCTTTGCCACTGAGCCACCAGGGAAGCCCCCCAAATAGCATTACATTTGTATAAATTGTGTCTCTGGGGAACCTGTATCCTTTAAATGCTTTAATATCAATAATTCATATTAGCAATAGCTTTTCATTTACAATTTTCTTATTAATCCAGTATTTTTAAAAAGCCTCTGAAGATGCCATTTTTCAGCTCCTGCTTGTTGCTTTTATGAAGTTCATGAATTTTGTTCACGGGTAAATAACGAAGGTTAGTTAGTATACGGAATAAATTTTTCTAGGAAAGATTAGTTATGAGATTTAAAAGCGAGTATATCCCACCTTCCTCCCCCCGCCACACTCACCCCTCTAAAGGGTTAAAATTACTTCTACAAAGGGATGTGCAATCTTACCTGCTGGGAGAAAGATTTTTGGAACTGTCAGGCTGCTCTGGCTCAGGGTTCTCCGCATCATGACTGCTTTCAAGTATTTCTGCATTCTAAAGTGAAAGAAATTTTGGTATGATCATCTATTTGTTTTGGGAGGAGGGCTCTTACCTTTATTTTTCTATTCCCAAATGTCTTCTCTTTCTTTGGTTAGAAATCAAGGTCTGGAGAAGTTGTGACCTGCTCAAGCTTAGAAAGAGAGCTAAAGGCAGAGAGAAGAGAAGCCTGGGGCCACTTTTCACAGACTGGGAATCACAAGCCCGTTCCGTCACACTGCCTTCTTGGGCAGTGCAGAGTGGTCACCAAGGCAGCTGGTAAAGCCAGCTGATAGTTGGAAGCTCTGCTCCACTATGAGCCACCTCTAAGACCTGGGGCAAATTCACTGAATCTCTTGATTTCCCCCCTAGAACATGGACCCCATGCAACTGCCCGCCTTGGCCAGGCACAATAATAACCACTTGCGTGAGCAGTCTCACAACAGAAGGTCCTGATAAGGAACAAAGTGCTGCTTCCGAGAGAATCCGAGGGGCCAAAAGGAAGGAGGAGGTGCCAATCCATAATATGTCCTGCCAACCTCCCAGAAACCCTTATGCTGGGGTACATCTTGGCTGAGAAATGTTTGTGCCACCAGGAACGACCTTGAGTCAGACCAAATATGGGCTAAGCAAGATGACTGGCCAGAGACAACCTAGAAAGGTAACCCCATTACCATAAAACCTGAAAGCCATGTGGCAGGTTACCCTGCCATATCTGCCAAACCTGGATTTGCTTCCCCTGCTACTCTCCACTCAAGCGCCTTCCCAAAAAACTCCCTTGCTCTGTCAGTACATGTGTCTCCTCAGACAATTCATTTCCAAGTGTTAGAGCCCACTCTTGGGCCCTGTAAGGGCGGTGGAGGGTGGTCCCCCTTCTGGTAATAGCACTATCTGCCACATAGGGTTGCAGATCTTTTTCAGAATAACACTGGACATTTAATTCTCAAGAAGAGACAAGACCCCTACTCAATTTATTTTCAAGAAAATATTTTAACAAGGACATGAATTTGTGTATCATACTGATAGCGACAGGAGTATTATAATAAAGGTATTAACCAAATAATGAGCAAGTAAATAATTAGCCAGCATTTGAGTTCTTCCTGCCTGCTAGGTTCTGTTTAAATGAGTTATTTTACACTGTCACAAAAGAGAGTAAAGGTTTAGAAGGGGCCCTCTTGCAAAAGTATCATTAAGGGAAATTTAATGAATAAACATAAGGATTCCTTGTAATTTGAGCTAAAAGTTGAAGGATGAGCTTTGCCCAGTCTCAGATGAACTTGCAGAACAGGTCAGAGTGACAGGCTGCTCAGAAAGATGTAGACAATGCAAGAGAATCCTCTACCTGAATTAGCAGAGCGCAGTCAACTTAAGGTTGTTTTATTATCCACAATGCAGACTACAGAAACAGCAATTTAAAAATGTTCAGTGTATGAAAGAAAACCAAGGATTTTCTATCCTTTTATAAATATCTTCCCAAACCTGGTATCCTATCCAGAAAGCAGGCTAACAAATAAAGGAGTTAAGATACTAGCTTTGCTAATTTAGCTCTAAAATATAAGAACAATCTTCCATTTAGTTTTTTTTTTCTTTTAATATAGGATATCATTTCAATGAGAATCTAAATTTTTAGTTCCCTCTATTACATATATTTGACCAGAGACTAGGATTTATTTTTCATTTCAATCATATACAGAAGTAAATACCAGTCCTTGGATTCAAACCAATCTAGGTATTTTCACCACACTATCAAAAGTCTTTCTTTGAGCTAATTACTATGGGAGTTAATGTTACACTGCATCCCTTTCTAGTTCTTCCTCTGTGATGTTACCACGATAAAAACACCACTAGACTTTGAGCTCCAGCCTTATTCACCTTTGAATCCACAACGTGCAATACCTTCAGAAAGAGTAGCTATCATTATTAACAAAACTCCCTCTCACTGTAAAACTCGATTATGCTTGTGAAATGAACTCTTTCTAACTCTAGTGATCTATTGTTAGTATGGTGGGTTATAGAGTCACTTATTTCATGACAACCTATTATAGTGATGGAAAAATAACAGTGACTCAAGGTGCAGGTGAGAAATTTGTCATCTTTTATACAGAATGATAATGCCCCTCTAATTTACAGACTGTCATGTATGAGAGGACTTCACAGGCTTGCTGAAATGGCTGGGTATGGACTTCGTTGTATCAAGCTATGTTCTTACGGCCACATGTCAGACAGTTGGTGTCAGGGTGGAAGGAGAGTCCTCTGTCAATCAAGGTTGATGGAATACACCACCCGTGTTTTTGAGGATATATGGGAAGGACCCACAGCAGATCTGGGGACTCTTTTAATGAGAGCCTGCAGCTAACTGCACTGTATACCGGTGTTTTGCTAAGGTTTAGATGGATTAGTTTTGGTGCAGTGGCTTTCAAAATCTGACCACAGTCCACAGGAAAAATGTTTACATATTAACACACACATATATTGTGATTTATAGTTGAGAAATCGATATTTGGTTTTCATCCTATTTCTGGCACAGAGCTCCTAAAATTTCCTTTGTTAAGTGTCTTGATATTTATAACAAGTCCCTTTCAACCACACTTGGGTTTATGTTAATGAGGTACTTTTAGGAAGCACCTATCCGGTTTCTCAGAAGCACAGGTGACAACTTGAGTTTGCCATTGGCCTCTGAAGGGGCTTGGGAGCAGTCTTAATAAGGCTGAGTCCTCATTGTTTGGAATCTGATGCTATCTCCAGGTAGACTGTTTGGAACTGAGTTAATTATTTGGTGGCATTGGAAAAAACAGACAACAGATGTACATGTAACTGAAACATGTTTGTGTGATTTCGTGATTGGATACATTCTATTTTAAATTCTATCCCATTGCACTCTATTTATTTATTTATAAATGCTAGTAAACCCACCTGAGTTCACTGTTACACTGTGACCTATACTTTGAAAATCTCTTAAAGAGTGAAAACTGAGTGAAAAACATACAAACCGAGGTATGAGAGGTAAATCTGGGTGGGAATCCCTGGCTTACTTTTTTTTTAAGTGGCCTTGGGTAGCACCGTACTTCTCTGTGAGTAAAATAGGTGTAATAGCATCTACGTCAGAAGGTTTTTGTGATTGTTGTTCAGTCACTCAGTTGGGTCCAACTCTGTGACCCCATGGACGGCAGCAGGCCAGGCTTCCCTGTCCTTCACTACCTCCTGGAGTTTGCCCAGACTCATGTCCATTGAGTCGATGATACCATCCAACCATCTCATCCTCTGTCATCCCCTTCTCCTCCTGCCTTCGATCTTTCCCAGCATCAGGGTCTTTTCCAATGATTTAGTTCTTTATAGCCAAAGTATTGGAGCTTCAGCTTTAGCATCAGTCTTTCCAATGAATATTCAGGGTTGATATCCTTTAGGATTGACTGATTTGATCTCCTTGCTGTCCAAGGGATTCTCAAGAGTTTTCTCCAGCACAATTCAAAAGCATCAGTTCTTTAGTGCTCAGCTTTCTTCATGGTCCAACTCTCACATCCATACATGACTACTGAAAAAAACATAGTTTTGACTATATGGACCTTTGTTGGCAAACATTAAAATACTTAGCACAAAGGAAAAGCTTAATAAATGGCATTTATGGTTGGTTCTTTAATATCTCCTGGGTGGAGATTACAATAGGCAATTATGTAATGCACTCAGCATGCTGATCTTCAGTAATTGCTGGGCAGTTGCTACCTGCTCATGTATAATAGAGCCCCCACATTTGTTACTAGCTGGGAGATGTTTGCCATGTCACTTAATCTTCCTGGGTATCCATTTTCTTCTGTGTAAAATAAGGGAACTGTGGTGTTGGAGAAGACTCTCGAGAGTCCCTTGGACTGCAAGGAGATCCAACCAGTCCGTCTTAAAGGAGATCAGTCCTGGGTATTCATTGGAAGGACTGATGCTGAAGCTGAAGCTCCAATACTTTGGCCACCTCATGCGAAGAGTTGACTCATTGGAAAAGACCCTGATGCTGGGAGGGATTGGGGGCAGAAGGAGAAGGGGACGACAGAGGATGAGATGGCTGGATGGCATCCCGACTCGATGGACGTGAGTTTGAGTAAACTCGGAGTTGGTGATAGGGAGGTCTGGCGTGCTGCGATTTATGGGGTCACAAAGAGTCGGACACGACTGAGCGACTGAACTGAACTGAACTGAAAATAAGGGAGGTGAGTAATTTGGCAATTAAATGTTCCTCTGTTTATAAAATACCAACATAGGTGCTATTGCTTCCAATTTTGAGATGAAAGCCAACCTACAGCTAGAGTACTTTTGGGAAACTTTTGAATTAAGCTTCCTAAAAGGCCTATGAGGAAGAGAACATATACAAATAAATGCTTGCTTGTTTCCAAATATTGGTCCTTTGATTCAAAAAATGAGCCAAAAAAACTGACCACAGACCAACCCACCAATTGCTGCTTTATTTCTCTGTTAGGGTTTCCTTATAAGCCTCACTGAATGAATTATAAAATGAGGTGATTTGAAAGCAGAACAAGTTTCTTGTGAAATCATATCCTGTTTTCCTTCAGTCACTCTTGACTTGGAAATACCCCAGGGCATCCCACAGAAGGGATTTTTCTCAGTCAACTGGTGCTGTAAAAGGGAACCAACCCATAAACTACTCCTTTGGGAGGCCAGTCAGGTGGGGAACTCCCTCCTCCTGTGTGTTCATTAATGCAGGCAAGCTGGTAGCTGCTCCAGGCCCTGCATCACTCCCGGTACCTTAGCCTCTCCCTGGTTTCAAAGTGACACCAACCCACATGCAGTTTTCCTGAATTACCTTTAATTACGACTTCCTATATCTACTCAACATAGGATCTGATTGTTTTCTCTCCCCTATATTTTGAAGAAAGACATATTTTCAAAACTTGAAAAAAATAGGCTAAGTGCCAAACCTAAAGGAATTTCGTTAAAAAAATTTTTTTCATCTCAATTTCTCTGAAGAATCTTTTTAAAACCTACATTATAAAAATTATCAAGAGCTAATTTTC